CCAGAAGAAGAAAGAAAAGTGGTTTCTGCTAAATTGGAACAGAATTCTTGTCTTCCCGTTTATGTTGATGATGAATTATCTGATCGTCATTATAATGGTTTTTCTAATTCAATATTATGGCCATTGTTTCATTATCACCCTGGTGAAATTAGCTTTAATCAAGAAGATTGGGAAGCTTATGAAAAAGTCAATAATCTTTTCGCTGATGCAATTAATGACATCGTTCAAGATGGTGATCTTGTCTGGATTCAGGATTATCATCTAATGTTATTACCAAGTATGTTAAGAGAAAGAACGGGGGAGAGTAATCGAAATATTAAAATTGGATTCTTTTTACATACCCCATTCCCTAGTAATGAGGTTTATAGGTAAGTTATCAAATTTTTTATAAAATTTTGTGAATGGTTTTGATAATTTAAATTTTGAACATTTCGATTAGAATTTTACCTGTTCGAAAAGAAGTTCTTAACGGGGTTCTTAATTCTGATCTTATTGGATTTCATACGTATGATTATGCTCGTCACTTTTTATCATCATGTACTCGTATTTTAGGATTATCAACTATGCCCAATAGTATTGATTATGAAGATAGGCATGTACATGTTGGAACATTTCCCATAGGAATTGATCCTGACAAATTTGTCGAAGTACGCTGAACTTAATAATTATGTTAGAAAATATTTGTTCGTTCGATGCCGTATGTAATTATAATATGATCCAATAATATTCGATTAATTTTTCCATGATGCGCGTACATTTTTACTCTTAGGGTTTAAACCAACCAAAAATTCAAAATCGAATTAAAGTTTTAGAGGAAAAATTCAAAGGTGTCAAACTTATTGTTTGCGTAGATCGTTTGGATTATATCAAAGGTGTCCCACAAAAATTTCACGCTTTAGAAGTATTTCTAAGTGAACATCCAGAATGGGTAGGAAAAATTGTACTTGTTCAAGTAGCTGTTCCTTCTCGACAGGATGTTGAGGAATATCAAAATTTACGCGCTGAAGTTAATGAATTAGTTGGAAGAATAAATGGAAAATTTGGTACTGTAGAATTTATGCCAATTCACTTTATGCATAAATCGGTTACTTTCGAGGAGTTAGTTTCATTATATGCAGTTTCAGATGTTTGTCTTATATCTTCTACAAGAGATGGCATGAATTTAGTTTCTTATGAATATGTATGTTGTCAACAACAAAGACATGGTGTATTGATACTTAGTGAGTTTGCGGGTGCTGCTCAATCTTTAAATGGTAAGAGTTTAAGAGTTAAATTCCATAAATTGCATAAATTATTTATTTTTAATTATATTTCAGGTTCTATTATCGTAAACCCTTGGAATACTGAAGAACTTGCTAATGCTATTCTTGAAGCTGTAACCATGCCAGAACATTTACGTAAATCAAATTATCAGAAATTATATCGATATGTTACAAAATATACAGCTGCGTATTGGGGAACTAGCTTTGTTAATGAATTAAAGGTAATTATTTATCTAAATTCAATTTTAATGAAATGATTATTATATATTTTTGAAATCAAAACTTTTAATTGATTATTATTTTATTATTTCTTTAGCGTGTCTCTGAGGAATATAATGTTCATACCCAAAAGCCACGATTAAGTTTTGATCAAGTATTAGAATCGGCAAAGAAGGCACAAAAACGGGTCATTTTGTTAGATTATGAGGGTACTCTAACTGCCATGCACAGATTACCAGAGTTAGCTAATCCATCTACAAATGTTCTCTCGGTTCTCAAAAATCTTCAAAGTAAACCAAACGTATTTATTTACATATTATCTGGTCGTGAACGTGTACATCTTGACAAATGGTTTGAATCAGTTGAAGTTGGTCTTTCTGCTGAGCATGGATGTTTTTATAAGCATCCATCATGTTTAAAAGACAAAATAAATCCCGTCGTGAATTGTTTACCTGAAGGAAGAACCATTAAGGAAGAAACTAATGGTTGGTATAAACTTGTTGAACAAATTGATCCTGCATGGAAAGAAAAAATTCTTCCTTTACTTAATCATTATATGGAAAGAACACCTGGCTCTAGCATTGAAGAGAAGGAAATCAATCTAACGTGGAATTATCGAAACGCCGAATCAGAATTTGGAAGTTGGCAAGCGACAGAACTTCAAGTTAATTTGGAGAAACTTTTAAGTCATATGCCTTTAACAGTAAGTTGGTTTAAAATGATTACTTCATAAATATAAATATAAATATACATAAATTATAAAACTTTTTATAAAAAATTTTTTTAGATTGTGTTGGGTAGTAATAAAACTTTAGAAGTTCGACCATCATCTGTAGATAAATCAACTGCTGTCCGGACCATTATTAGAGATTTAAGACAATTACATGATGTAGATTTTGTTTTATGTATTGGAGATGGCAAAACTGATGAACCTGTATTTGCTTTATTGAAAGAGATGATGCCAGATTGCTTCACAAGTACTGTTGGAAAGAAGCAAACTGAAGCAAATCATTATCTTGAAAGTGTTGGACATGTACAAAGTTTGATGGAGAGATTAGCGGACGAGTTATAGATTAATAATATAAAGTAAATTTTGTATATAGTCTAATTATAGTAGATCATATTTAACACGTGATTTTGAATCACAATTTTATTCCCTTTCCACGATTTTTTTTTTTTAATTTTTAATTTTTTCTTAAATTAATATAAACTGATAAAAGGTTAGTTATTTTTTAATAATTATAATAATAATTATAATAATAAAATTTAATATTATTATGATGAGATCTTTGGTAACCGAAAGAAGGTTGCAAGCAAATAACAAATTCTCAGTGTCGATGTAAAAATTCAACCTAGAAACTTGTTTATAAAATAGCCTGTAACTGAAGACGAAAATTAGGCGAATCTGAAATAGTTTTTCTTCGGTGTATGAAAGTTATAAAATATTGAGTTAGTACACTTATTCAACCAATTTTTTTTTTTTAGTATAGGAAATACAAAGACTCGTAAAAAGTTTTCTCTCCTTAATAGCAATTATTTATTTTTAGAAATTTTGTGAAAACAAATATTATAAAAATATGGCAAAATCAAAATA